TAGAGGTTAAAGTTCACAGCTTGCGATGTATGTCTTCACACTGTATTAACTGGGTCGGGTTTGTACATGGGGTCCTGACATGAAACGCAATAAATGGAGGTAGACGGTTCACTTCCGTTTTTGTTTCACGCATGTATTATGTGAAATCTCTGAGTTCTCAGTCTGGTTGTATTACCGCTTCCTCATGAGCCGCAACCAAAATATCAAACAAGTTTGATTTTCTTTCGACCCCATGATTTCTAAACAAGAGCTCATCGGGAGGTGCCAATCGCAAATAGTGACCCTCTTTAATACTACACAACACACGATTTGACCAAAAAAATTGTGCGGCGTATGCCGGGCTTTGGTGAAATTTATCATCTGTACGTGTCGATTACTGCTAGATTGGTTTTTCATTTTTCTTATTGTCTTTATGACCAAAGTGATTTGTGAAAAACTTTAGTGGCATTATTTATAACGTTGACATTCTGTTGTTTCAGAGAGGGGCTTAGCTCCGTTTTTCAAGCCCATTGTGCAGAGTGGTAGACCCAGTTGTCTTGGGGTTGATTCTAAGCCTCAAGTTATTTACTTAAGGTATTTCCCTATGCTCTCTTTCCTTTTAAACGACTGTTCAATAAAGACCACTGTCACATAAAAAAATCACCAACATTATCTTGTTTCTCTGTTTTTAACATTACTGACATTGATCAACGTGCGGGCTGGCTTTGAGCTCGTCTAGCTGGCTTTTTGTTTCCTGGATAGGGCCGCCTGTTGAGCTAGCTGACCTTTTATATCTTTGCTTCTTTCCGTATGTCTGTTTCATCTGCAGATGGCCGTTCACACTAAGCCTGGTTCTGGTTCTGTTTAAAGGAAATTTTTCCTCTCCACTGTCGCTACAAGCATGCTTAGTGTAAGGGATTGCCTTTGAGTCAATGAGTCGATGCAGTCAGCTGGTTTTCCTTAGATAGAAAACTTTGAATCAATTTGACCATATAATATGGTTGAATTGTCTCTGTAAAGTGCCTTGAGATGACTTGTGTTGTGAACTGGCGCTATATAAATTAACTGAATTGAATCAAATGCATGCTTCTGCAGCCCTGATGATAAGGGATTTCAACCATTTAATTCTAAAATAAGTGAAGGGGATGCATTTCAAAGTTGCATGATTGTAGCTCAGGAGGACTGCTTTTTTTGCATCCTCTTTTAGCAGTGGGTAGACTGCTTAAATAGACTTAAAGTAAAAAATCTGCTAAATAATCTACAGTACCATGAGATATGAAAGCAATTATGGCTCAGATGAAGTCTTTAAAATTGGGCCCTGTTATCCTTTAGACATCAACCTTTATTTTTCTTTGTCTTGCTTGATATGATAGACTACCATTTCAATATAGATATAATATTTTGTCTGTTCTTAAAGGTTCCTCATCAAGGTACCAAGCTGATACATTTTCAAAGTAGGATTGCAGATCTGAAACTAAACAAACATTGAGCTGAAGGAATCAACGGACCCGGGAGTGAGTCAACAGGAGACGAGCACTCACAGAACCTTCCTTCCTTCCAGAGAGGAAATGTTCTCTGCATAAATATTTGGAGTTTGCTAATTGAAAGAATCTGCACAGCTGCAATTCCGGGAGGTTACTTTAAACACTGCTCTCATATGGGCCCTTTGTGTCTGTCCCCTTGTTCATTAGCGTCGAGTGAAATGAGCTGCGGCTATGGTAAACAGTTGGACGCGTACAGGTTAGATTTGATCAGTCTCTGGTATTATGTGCACAATAATCAGTTGTTTCCCCCCCCGAAGACCCCTTTTTGTTTTGCTTTGCCGTACGCATTATCCTGCTCCTTGATTAGCGGGGTTGCTATATGCAACACTGTGAGGATGTTCTTTCATCTAGGTCTTTGAACAACATGTCTGCATGTCACTGTTTGCATTTGGAATTAAAATTCAATGAACATATGTCCATTTTTTACCACACTGCACAAACACACGTCAGACTGTTTGCAGACAGTTCTGCTGCCCCTCACACTAAGCAGTCAAAGACCATGACTGTAGAGTCAGAATAAACAAGGGTATACATGTGTAGCACACATCAAAGCGTGGTACGCAAACAGAGAGTATGGTTTCCTTAAGCAAAAGTCATCATATTGACTTCTTATTTTTGCTGTTTTGGAAACTTGCCCACAAAAAAAAGTTGTCGTGAAACAATCTGAGTTTTTCCTCTTGCAGGTTGCACTGAAGAAAAAAACCCATTGAAATCAGGAGACATCTTTGTCCAGAAGCTCTTTCACTTTAGATCGCTTCCTTCAAACTAGAACTGGGATATGTGTGAAAGGCCTTTATCTTAAAATGCTAGATTCTAAACGTTTAAGTCCTGATTTCTTACTAGTATCAGCAAAGTTTAAAGTAATATCAAGATAAAAACAGACTTGAGAAGAAGGGTTTGGTATCCACTAGCTACAGAATACTGGGGATAAAAAATACAAAGGCTGGATTGAAGGGGATTTCCAGTGACAGGGCCCCACCGGGGTCTGAGGTTCTCCGACAGCGAAATAATATTTGAAGGCAGGATCATAACCTTGGTAAACTGACTGCACAGATGTAGCCTTGAGGTGGAGTTTCTCACTTAAAAATATATTAAAACTACTTTTTACCTAGCCTGATAAACCAGACTGAATGTGATATTAGATGAGTAATTTAGTCTGGCCCAGACCACCCGTTGTCTTTCAAACCGGTGCCTGTGCCTATTGGCCAACGCTGTGACCAATGAGCGCAACTGACACACGGTTCCCGCGGGTCCTTAAAAAGTCTTAAAAGGCATTGAATTCTTTAAAATAAAATTAAGGCCTTAACTGGTATTACAATGTCTTAAATCAGTCTTTTGTAGGTCTTAATTTTTAAAACATCATAAATAGGATTATTTTTATTACGATTTATTTTTGTAATCTAAATAAAACGTTAAAATTGACAATTTTTTTTTTATTATAAAAAAATAAAAAATAACGGCTCGCCATTATTGGTTCCGTCCCGATAGTGGAACCAATAAAAGCGTTGTTGCGGCCAGGACATTTGGGAGATGCGCCATTTACTTTTTGTCTGGAAAACATGAGCAAGTGTAAACGTAACAAAAATTTTTTCTATCCAGCCAAGAGTTTTCTCCATGGCTAAAACCAATAACCAGGAACATACATGAGGCACAGTGTATTTTGTGCAAGAAGCGATTCAAGCTCGGAACAATGGGAATTAAGGCAGTGGAGTCGCACATGCGAAGCACGATACACAAAGCATCAAAATCGAGTTACAGAGAAACAGCCGGCATTTCTCAGTTTTGTTCCACCATTGTCTCTGCAACGCCTCCAATTATCACCAAATCAAACATACTAAGAAAACGATACGAAAAAAATTAGCTGCAAAAAAGAGTTTGCACTGGTTATGTTGTGGCTTTAAAACTGATTCGTTTTGTTCCCTGCTAAAACAAAGTTTGTGAATTCAGTTAAATAATTATTAAAATATATCCATAATTTGTGTGTTTTTAGCTTTCTTCCTGTATGGAAAGGTTTTCAAGATTTGAAACATTGGTGCAGTGGTTTATGTTAAAATAAACCTTTGGGTAAAGTTGTCGCAAGCGGGTTTTTCTTGTGTTTCTTGTGAATTTGGTCTTACATTTTTATTTCAAGTGGCATTAAAAAGTCTTGAATTGAACTTGCCTTATGCTGTAGGAACCCTGTGACATAGTAAGTGCGACAGAAAGCTGGTGGGGGTGTGTAAACAAACAGCCTGTCGGTAAAACGGCGAATACGTCCTTCCTAAGAATTAATGCATGAATGAATTTTTCTGCTCACGTTTAAACGAAAACCCCAAGACTAATCCTTCCAAAACTGATTCTAAAGCTGAGTCGAACAAACTGTTCAATACTTGCTGCCATCTTCCTTGTTGTGCTTTCTCCAGCTTCTCGCAGCTTTGGCGTCCCTTCCTCAAAAACCCCGCTCACTGTGCATCCAGAATTTCAAAACAACATCTCTGCGTTGCGATTGGCCAGCCAGTTCTAGTGCCTGGGGCATTGATTGATGCTAGTCCAAACTCCCAAGAAAAAATTATTTTGGCCGCTGGCGGGCAGGGCTAGTTTACTAGGCTACTTTTACCCACTTATCACAGCAAATATAGCAAAACCGCTCTCTGCCATTGAACATAGGAGCAGCAGAAGCATCAGAGGCATCTGTACACACTTAACTGGACACTCTTCAGGAGGATCAAGGAGGCTCTTTAGGAGCGTCCGACCTCATTGTGTACAAGTATCAAAAATTAAGCAGCAGATGCTTTTTTGCTGCTTCTATCGCATGCTGTCTGAATGTAGCATTACGGCACTTTTGAAGGCAAATAAGTCCAACCTAGTACGAGTGAGGTATACTTAGGAAGTCTTTTTTCAGTCCATGAGTTTTAACAAACTTTAGATGAAATGTTAAGGTTAGGGTTAGGCTTTAAATTAGAAAAGCCAAGATACAACTTCTTCAAATGTACGTAGCTGGTAATGTGTCACATTTTGGGAATTTGGATGCTCAGAAACCCAGTAAGTGCAGTGTTAGACTCAAAACTGTTTTTATAAGTAAAAAAAGTACTATTTTTCTTAAATTAACATAATAGTTTAAAAAGTTAGAGCAATAATTAAAAGTCTTAAAACAAAGAAAGTGACCAACAAAAATGCATGAGGATGCAAGTGTAAATTGCCACCAGTAATACTACTGTACTTCATTTTGAAGTCATCATTAATGCATCCATTTTCAGTAGATTACCAACACTATGTCATATATATGCATGCATTTTCAGACAGGAGGCACTGGCCTTGTTCAGTCCCGTTATCAATGAGTGTGTGAAGTCTATTTTCATTTAACCAACAATATGCCAGTAAAGGTTAATTTGTAACTTATTGGCTTGAGGTTCACAGAGTTATTCAGTGTTCATTCAGTTCATTTTGTTGATCACCATGGGAGACAGTGTGTCCCTGATTCAGACACTGAAGTTAGATGAACTCATACACCAAGAAAGCCTCCAAGATTACTAGACCGCCATGTTGGGACAAAGGGCTGTGGAGACCACCAGTACCGCTTCTCATCCACATCCATTTGACAGTTGGCTAGAGGGTGAGAAAACAGGAGCTGCTCTGCTGTTGTCCGGTGTCTTTCTGGCGATGGTAGGTGTCACCTTCACTGCCATGGGTTGGCAGCACTTCGAAGCCCACCAGAGCTTTCAGTGGACCCAACTTCTAGGCCCCATCCTGATCTCAGTCGGAGGTACCTTCATGCTTACCAGTGTGTGCAAGTTTACTTTGGTCTCCTGCTGGCCTTGCAGACGACAGGAGGAGGAGGTTTATGTTATACCTGTGAGGGAACAAAACTCAAGGGGACATCCAGTCGTGGTTCATTCCATGAACCAGTCGGTCATGTTGCAGGGCAATGCAACCATGCTGTGTATTCCACCTGCTTATAACTTTGTCATTCAGGAAACACAACAAGAAAACGACCCCCAGCCTGGCTGCTCTGTGGGTGGCAATAACTCAGCGCTTCCGTCGTATGAAGCTCTTTACTGCTTGGACAACGCAACTTTGACTGCAGAATCCAGCACACCTCACTGCAGAGAAGCAGGCCAGAGAGGCAGGTAGGACAACATTTCCCTTTCATATATTAACCTAAACTTTTCATCCAAAGCCTATCATTTAGTATCCATAACCTATGAAGGCTTTTAAAGGTTTAGTCCTTGTATTGACATGCATAGTATATTATGTTAAGACTAAAATAAATTGGCATAGAATAGTACCTGAAAAAACAGAGTGAAGGAAGGAAGGAAGGAAGGAAGGAAGGAAGGAAGGAAGGAAGGAAGGAAGGAAGGAAGGAAGGATCAGCGTTCACCTTTCATACATTATAAACATATTTTTTTGTTTTATTTTAACTCCTAATTTTCTTTATTGTCATTTTGAAATCTCTATAAATGCTTAAATGCTCTGTATGATTAAAATAATGAAATGCTCTATAAATGATTATTAAAAAAAGGGCAACAGAATAAAACAAAATTTCAATCTTAGCCCACTGGTGAGTTGTGCTATTTTCAGAAGATGCTGTGGGCATCCCATGAGGCCCCTGAGAAACCCTTGGCATCCATAGGCACCACGTTGGTGACCCTTGGGGTAGAGTATCTGTGTACTGGCCCTATAGATCGTCCCATTGATTCTTCATAGGTCGAGGTCTGTACTTTGACTGCCGTAATAAAATAATCTAAAAACTACTCTATTCTAGCTGTGACTGTATGATTAGGGCTGTGGTTCTAATAAAGGGTCAATTTCTGCCCCAGGCTTAAACCTTTTTTCTTGCTTCTTACGGGGTTATTTTCAGCAGAGTGAAAAATTGATGTTTGTGCTGTTTTGCAATAGTTTTTATTGGCAGTGATAAAAGCTTGAATAGGTGTTCATGTGACATGTAATGATTTAAATCTTATTGTTTAATACTTATGTAGTTTTTTTGGCCCTTAATTTGGAAGAAGATTACATTTGGCGTTTGTATGAGTTAAAGGTGTGGCTTTTTAATTCTTGTTTAATTTAGTTTACTCTTTAATATTTATTTATTTATTTATGACTAAGTTGGCTTTAAAGCTGACTTACAAATGAAAGCAACAATGCATTGAGCTTCTATTCAGCTCAGACATGTGTTTTTGTTCCTAAAAAATGTTATCCCCACATTCTGATGCTGCCAACACCGTGTTCCATGATGAAGAAGACTGCCACACACACTGCAGTTATTTGCATATTGTAAAAAAAAAAAAACAGTTTCTATCAATCAAGGTCCTTGTGACCAGAGCACTTTCTGCTACTTGTTTGCTTACCCCTCTCCAAAAATGGCTGTGTGATTTCTACCTCACAGCAAAAAAATGGGTGTTAAAAATTCAGAGTGAATCCATTTAACTCTAAATGGATTATTTATCTTACTATACTAGTAACTATACAACTATAACTATACAACTATACTGACTGTAAATCTGCTCAAGTGTTGAAGGTAATAATAAGTGTAAATTTTACATCCATGCAGTGTAACTTTTACTCTATATGGTGTTGATTTCCTACCAGTCTCTGAAAGGGTCATCTCAATTTTGTAAATAGGAGTAAAATTCCAAGAAAGAAGCTATATAGTAAATTTTACAATAATTTGGAGTGAGGCCAAATGTTATCTGAACCAGAAATGTTTCCAACTCTGTAGGTGTTAAAAGTAACACAAAAGCCACCTAAGTGGAGTGCATGGCTAAAACCTGTGTTGTCAGATTTTGTCGGCATGGCAACATGTGAAACCTTTTGCAAGGTCATGTACATGCACAAAAGACTAAATGTGCTAAAGAATTAGGAGAGTGCTATTAAGCATAGAGGAACTTTCATTTGCCATGCATGGAAACATCATGCAAATCAGCTTTAAGTATGTCTTTGTGGTTTGGGGCTTCTCATATAGTGTGTTATGTTCTGTAGATGAAGTCTGTGTCTGTAATTTTAAAAAGGTAGTAAAATAATCAAATATTACCTCAGCCATATCTTCAAATAAACTTTGCATCACTGGAATATGGGGACAATTAGACCCAAAATAGCAGACATTTCTTAGAATCATCAGTCCTCTGGGATGTGAGATTATATCATAGACATTTATTCCGTATGTATTTGTTAAAGGGAAAAAGTTTTTGAAAGGGAATTAAAAAGTTATATTTTCCCACCTGTTCCTTCGGCAAAATCCAAGGCACAGTATTTATTTTACTAATTGCAGAACCGTCTATTTGAAGTCCAATCAAACAGACTGCAGACAGACTTTTTAGCTATAAACACAAAGCTGCATTCCTGGTTTTCACTTTCTTTTATTGCTTTTAGTCAATTACTCCCAGCAGGTCTCCAGGCAAAGCAGATCTCTTTAACACAAACAGACAGCGAGAGTAATGCAGTTAACCTGCGTTGACTAAAAGCTGCAGCCTGGATCTCACGAGCATGCCAGCCCAGTGACTGCTTTTCTCAACTCCTGACCTGTGTTTTACTGTGTTTCCAGGAGTTAATGCCAAATAGAAGAATCGTCAGGGGAGAAATTGCTCCACCTCTGTGTTTTCTTTGAAAGGCCGGCAGGGTTGAAGCATAACCAATTGAGCCTGTAAACATTTGGATGTTTGCCAGTTTTTTTCTGTCTTGACTTCCAGCCTGTCTGAGATCTGATGTTTCTGATTCTTTTTTTTTTAATTTAGAGTACAGAAGATGAAAAGTGAAAGAGGACGCCTAGACGGGAAAGAGTCCACCTGTTGTCAACCACCTGCCTATGAGGACATTTACCCTTCCTCTACGACACACAATTCAGCATAAGGCAAACAATCTCTTGTTGACGTCAAGCATTACGCTGATGACATTCTTTCTTTTTCTTGTTAAAAGCCAAAAAATCCTTTTTTTTTTTCAATTTTTTATGTGAAATAGATTCTGTGCTGTATATGACATCTTTTTAATAAATCATTTGTTGAGTATTGCTTCACAGGAGCACAATGGAAACTACTGTTGATTTTTTCCACACCGTCATAAAAAATGCCATAAAGTATAAAGACATAAAATCCCCATAGATGAGGACTGCTTTTTGAAAAGCTCATAAAAATGAGACGTATCAACAAAATAGGCTCCAAAACAGTAATATTTAAAACATACACATTTATTTTGTGCTTTCTGTCTGTCAGTGCACAATCGTACATGAAAGCTTGTGAAAGATTGTTTAAAAAGGACTATATATAATAGCCATGGTTTTCATTTTTGGCCTTTTGTGATAGAATCTAATCTTATTTTGTTTCCTCATTAATTAATAACAGTGAGACTTTTTTTCAAAAGTAAATTCTACCTAATTTGAGTGAACATTTTTATGTTTTCCTCAGATTGTTAATTTTATTTATTTATTTTTTTTAACCTCTTAAAAAAACCTAACCTCTGTCCAAATAGTAAACTCTAGTCTACACGGTGAGTCAAAATGTCACTGCACCACACGGGGGCAGAAACACTGAGCAAATCCTCTCACAGAGGTCATGTCAGGTGGTTTGTCCAAACAAAACCAAATTTACTAAAATTAGTTTGACCCTTTTTTTTTTGAACCAGGAAATTTCCCAGGGGGGTTTAAAAATATATATTTCTGCTGAAAAATATAACGTCACAATTGATTAATTAAAAAATAAAGGCTGAATTAAAGATATTGTCAGATATGATAACATGTTATTCTATTTTTGCAGTTATTGTTTTTCTACAGTAAATATTATAGTAAATCTGTTGCTGTGTTTGTTCTAAATCAAATTGCAAGTAAAAAAAAATAAATGTTTTTTTTTTTTATCCTAATAACTCCTTTACACTCTTTTAATTATTTATTTTGTCAGTTTAGTCGTTAAACGTTAGGCTGCATATATAGAATAGGATTTATATGAAAAGTATCACAAGTCTTTTTAAATAGTGTGTTTAGTAATAATCAGCTGATATATTTTTCGAAAGGACCCAGTCAAGTTTGTTCATTTATTAAATTCTGTTTTATACCAAGTAAAAAAAATAAAATTCAGGATAGACCCTTATTCCTGTTCAGTTAAAAACAAATAGGTAAGGAATTCATATTTCAAGCCCTCCTCCTGGTATTGAACCGTTTGGCTGTGCACATCAGAGACCGCAGCTCAATATGACTTCCATTATTTTTACAGCACAGTAAAATGCGGGTGGCCAACAAGGCCCATTATTGCCCCATTTTCGAATTTGGAGACAATTTTTGAAGGTATTCCAGAATGTGCTGAAGGATATTAACTCTGTGTACGAGATGTGGAAACATCTGCCAAGAAAAGGGAAAGAAATCAGAGAAGCATTTTTACAAAGGCCTATTAATTATCAGTAAACTGAAGTTTAATGATAGCAGGACAGTTTGAAAGGATAAGCGTTGGTTAAAGATTTAACATCTATAAATTAAAAGGCATTTCTTCTTTTCTTAAGGGGGTGAGTTGTGTTCTTTAAAGCTAACATGTGTCTTACTTTTCCTTTTCCATAGCAGGCATATTATTCCCTCATTCTGCGTTTCTGATCACTTAAAAAAAATAAAAAAGTTGTGATGCTTGAGGCCTTCCCGTTTAAAAAAAGCCTCCATGTTTCAATAAGCCCAAAAATGTGTGCATTGAATTTGAAATTACGTGTGAGATGCATATAACCTAATTTGAAATAATAAAGAAAGATCAGTAACTGTGATCAGACTGCAGTTATTTGCAGTGAGCTTTACGCCACAGCGCTGCGGGTTTAATAGTCTTTTTATGTCACAGCTGCGCGCGCGCAGCCACGCGCACACACCGATCTCACACACAAGGTGTTCGGTAATGTTTGGGCTCTGCAGCTCACAAACAGCTGAAGCTGCTGTTTGAAGCTGTAATCTGAGCTCATTGTGTTCAATGTATTCAACAAGGGACTATTTTGACTGATAAAAGGCTGCGGATTATTATTCCAGACTGTGGAAAACCACCGATTAAACATAGGAACATACAGTACAACTTTGCTTTTCAGTTACTGATTATATATATTTACATTGACAAAAAAAAGTTACGTTTAATTTAATTTAATTTAATTACAATATTTTTTGTATCATCTTTTTTTTTTTTTGCTACCCTCACTCAAATTGCTTTTTTTTTTTAAATTATTATTATTTCTGGGGTAACTGTCTCCAAATCAAATTTAACAAAGATTTACATAACATTTGACCCTAGAGCTGCACAGTTAAATGCTTTTTCAAATACCTCCAACTACCGCTTATGAGAAGATTTGAATTTTCCTGTGTGTTGTTGAATAATAAGCCGTTACAATATTCCGGGTAATAAACCACTAATCGGCTCCAAGATATTTAGGTGGCTTTGTTTTACGTAAGCAAGGTTTTAAACAAGTGCTTATTTATTTATTTTTTTCTTGTTTTTGCTTGCATGTTTCAGCCCGTTCATTTAGCATCTGATTAACAAATATGGCAAAAACACAATCAAATAAATAATAAAGATGTAAAAAAAAAATGTATTTTATTTTTATGGTACCATTATCTTAATAATAAAATATTGCATTATCCACAAAAAAACACAAGACACACATAACTAACTAACTAACTAACGGAATGCAACCAATAATAAAAAAAAAACAATTACAGGGTTTTACCAAAACTGCACTTGCCAACTTTATTCATCTTTTTATGTATGTTCTCTGTAAGTTCAGAGGTTGACACTCTAGCCATTTCTACAAATTTTAGCATATCTTTTTTCCTTTTTAGATGATTTTTTTCCTATTTTACCATGCTGGATGCTGAAGTGCTGCTGGGCTCAGCCTGCTCTTTCTTCACTTTATTTGAGAACATCTGAGCTGCTGCTGCAGAGCCTGCACTGAGATAGAGTTTGTGAGTGTGGTGCTGTTAGGGTTGGTGAGGAGGGGGGGACAAATGGATCCCATGTTTGCAGGAAAACACGCTGGAGGCGCAGGAAAACTATGCTGTTTACGAAGCACACGTGAAACCACTCAAAATTAAATTATCTTCCTGTTGCTCCAGCTTTTGTCGTTTGCAGTCCTTAGGTTTCTCGCCAGCAGTGTCACCACCCAGAGAGCAGGTCTGCATCTGTGCATAAGGGGTTGCAGTTTCCAGGACACACATGCAGGGGAACCGCAAGGAGATGGAGGCTCTCATGCTGCACGTAGGTCTGTGCGCCTTTTGCTCTTCTCTGCTACTATAAAAGTAGATCTGACAGGTTTTTCCTGTGGTTTGGATTCATTTTCTGTTTCTTCCTGCAGAATACTCATTTTCCCTCTCAGTGTGGAGGGGGGGTCAAGCTTTGCCCATTTTATTTTCTGTAATTCATACAAATTTATACAAAGATGAAAAGTGTGAATCCTGAAGAGGTTCTGATCAGAATCAACTGACATAATAAGCTTCCCTTTATTATATTGTGTCTTGAGTGTCATCTCAATGCTGTCAGTTCCACTGGATATTCTTTTACCAAAGTCCAACATACCTTCATGTCACACACTTCTATTTTAAATTTCTTTAAAAAAGGTGAAACAACAACAAACAAAAAATGTTCTTCCCTTTTGTTGAGCTGCGCTACGTTATTTTGTTATCTCACTTTGACATTTATGTATGCAATTTAAGAGTATTCAGAAAACTGAGGGTTAAAAATACAATAACGTGGGGCAGCATGGGAGAGCACAGCGTTTGAATCCTGGCTTGGGGTCTTTCTGCACTCTTGCATGTTTTCCCTTGTATCTTTAGTTTCTTTTCAAGTACTTCAGCTTCCTCCCACAGTCTAACAACTTCACTGTTTGGTCAAATGATCTCTTTAATTTGCTCTTGGGTGTTTGTGTGCATGTTTTTTTTGCTCCATGATGGACTGGCAATACTCTATCCAGGACATTACGCCCTAACTCTGCAAGGACAAATCGCTATAGGCAATACATGGATGGAATAACTGTGCACAGAATTGTTAAAGCTGCACTCCTTATACTGCCAATTAATATCAATTCTACATGTGAACCTGTACTGGAAGCACGTAGCCTTCTCCTTTACCCTTCCATCTCCCTCTCATCTTTCCCCCTCCATCACATTTTTACATTTTCAAATATTTAGTTTTATGACAGACCTCTGTTTCTCCTCAGAGAGCAGGTGTTCAGCTCATTCAGACATAGCACCGCGAGGCCAGCTTCATCGGCAGCGATGGAGGAAATTGCCATATGAGGGCAACCACAGAAGGTCATGAGACTGTAGTCTAAGTGCAATTACATGAGTCTTATGTAGGGGTGAGCGCTGCGTTTCACCACAGGATTACATGTTCTGTGGAAAGAGTTCTGTGATTACACTTCTGAACCATATTCAGTTTTATGTATGATAACTTTTGGGCTTTTATGCAGTTTATGAGCGAAGACTTTATGAGGATTTTAGATCCCTTCCACAAAGAGGCGGCTTTAAATGACATTATTACTCAAGTAATGCTAAGGCTTTGGGGAACTGAGTTGAAACGGTCAAGGATCAGAACCACATCATAACTGCCCTTGTTTTTGATTTTTAATCTATAGATTTTAGTTTTACAGGTTTGTCTCTTGAAATGACATAAATACATGTTTTATATATTTAAGAATCTTTTTACACAGTTAATCATTTTTTTATTAGAAACCACCAAATGTGAAACTATCCTCTCTATTGAAACCAAAAAGCTTGATTCCTCCTCTTCTCTGTCCTTCCCTCTTAGTAGCATAGCTTTTATAACTTTATATAATATAAATTTAATTCAATTCAATTTATTTTTATAGCACCAATTCACACGACAGGTCACCTCAAGGCACTTTACAGAGACAATTCAACCAGATCATATCAAATTGATTCAGTTTTCTATCTAAGGAAAACCAGTTGATTGCATCGACTCATTGACTTGAAGGCAATCCGTCACACTAAGCATG